ATTCTATTCTATTCTATTCTATTCTATTCTATTCTATTCTATTCTATAAAAAGAATGCAAATGACCAGCCATCTGCAAGGAATATAAATCCTTCCATTCCTCACTGCCCTGTCAGAGCTGAAGAAGAAGCTTCTTGGTTGGATGAGAAGTGAAACATCTTCAAAGAGAAACTAGAAAGTCCAGCTGCCTCCTGAAAAAGCATTTTTGGGACAGCCATGACCTGGATGACTGAGAATCTCTACAGACAATGAAAATGCAGTTGCAGTTGCAATGAAAGTCCTCAAAAAGCTTTTAGGTCAATGACCCATGTGACTGTCAGTGGAGGGCAGTGGTAGCATGGGGTTTATTGATTCTGGCTTTGGCTGTTGCAGGGGCCAGGGTTCTTAGACCAATTTCAATGAGCTCTGGGACAGATCTTTCTGCTCTTCTTGGTCATCAGGTTGAGATTGGATGCTTTGCCACACGCGTTTAATATAATCAGTGCTTACAGTCCTTGAACAGAATGGACATGTGGAGTTAGTCTCTCACTTTAACCACATAACTACTCCTTCGCCTTCTAGCCAGAATATTTTTGAACGTGGGTTTAGTGGTTTTACAGAGATTGCAAGGAAACATCTGGAGATGTCCCTCCCTCTCCAGCCTTCCTTCATCCCACTCCTGGCCAGCATGTTTTGCCATCTTTGCCAGACCCAACGCTCTCGGCATCTGTCTAAATATGCCCCCACCCACACACATCGAGGAGAGCATTTAATGGTTGCCTTTTCCCATCAGTACAGGCACACGGCACTGAGCATATGCTCAGGGCATCTAGAAACAGCGCCCCCAGCTATCATGCCCTTACATTCACTGCCCCATTAAGCTTTAATCAATGTGTTTGCAATGGTCCTTATCTGTTGTGTTCAGCTTTAATTTGCACTTTAAAAAAAATCATTGGTATGGAGAGTGACTAAACTTTCCAAGTTTGCTTGAGGGTATCATCAGGTATCACCTGTGCTTCGTCCCATGGCACGAGAGTTTTGCACCGCTCCAGTAAGAAGCACAGAGTCCTGTCTCAAGCTAGGCACCCACAAACCAAACCGAGAGGTGGTCGCAATTTTTTACTGGGAAGTTTGCAAAGCGAATAAATAAGCGACGAAGGAAATGCGAGTTGCAAATGTACACCACGCACGCACGCGAGAGAAACCAAGTCGGGGGGGAAAGTCCAGCAAACTTGCCTTGAGAGAGAGAGCCAAATCCAAAACAGAAGAAACAAGAGTGGTCAAACGAGCTTCCGAATGTCTAAACGGGGTAGCAGAGTTATCAGCCTGTCCAAAACGGAGTCTGGATAAACGGGCGGTTGTTGTGACCGGTGGGGCCTTGAGCTCGCTGCTTCTTCTTTCAAATGGAAGCAAGCTCTGTTTGTCGCTCATTTGGACGTGCGAGATTCCCTTCGCTCCGCTCTGCTTGTCCGCCCGGGTGAGCCTTTGCCCCGGGAGCTCAGACGCCGCATTTCCCGAGACCCGAGCTGGCGGCTGTGCTTCCTGGCTACCGGCGATGCAGCTCTTCGGTTCGTCGGAAAAAGAACTGTTTGCAGACGGTCGGATTTCTCATCAGAGTCCAAACTGGCCGTGACACACAGCTGTCCGGGTCTGGCTAGCATTTAACTCATCCGTTGATAAGGTTTGTCTTTCTTAAGGTTTGTCTTTCTTATTTCTTTGACTGATTTTGTTTTTTTTAAGCGCTAAATGTTTTTTTATTTTTATTTTAGTTTGCATTTAATATAGATGTGGGGACTGGCCTGGGGGAAAACATCTGCATTTTTCATCTCTTATTAAACCTTCAGCACTTAACTTGAGTCTTAATGTCTTGTTCAACTAAGCAATGTGGGGGGGCATTGTTGGGCTTTGGTTAGGCATCAGTTGGCCTTAATTTGACCCTGAGTATGTGATGCTTTAAGAGACAGTTTGGTGTAGTGGTTAAAGGCTCTGGACTAGAAATCAGGATGCTTTGAGTTCTTGTCCTGCCTTAGATACAAAGTCATCTGGGTGACCTTGGGCCGGTCACTCTCTCTCAGCCCCAGAGAGAAGGCAAGGGCAAACCACTTCCAGAAAAATCTTACCTTGCAGTGACTTATCTAGGTATTTTCCAGAAGTCAACTTTGACTCGTAAGTGCGCATGTGTGTATGTGGCGCACACTCACACACAGGCAGGCAGGCAGGCAGGCAGAAAAAGACAGTGCTTGGTGGGAGAAAAAGGAAGCTGGGAAATCCTTTGACCCCCTTTTGCTAACTTGGCCCACAAGAAATAAACACTTTATTAGCCTTAGTGTGGCAGAATAGAAGTTGGCAATGAGCACATTGCAACTTCCACATCAAGGACTGGAGGGCAGCACTTTGACCTGACCATTTGTAAAAGCCATGAGGTGGTGTTTCCATCTTACGGATAAATACTTTGGGGGGAAAGCTAGCCCTTATTCCCAATTTTAAAAATAATAATATTGAAAGCATTCTGGACTCAGAGCAATTTCGTTTTGCAACTTGAAGCAGTGCATAATTCTTTTACATAACTCTACAACTAATTAACTCAAGCTTTCTGAATTTCAGCACTACAATGTGGGAGTAATGTTGTTATCATTAGTGTTTAAAACAATGAAATTTGAAATCTTTGCCAATTTCTGAGTCATGCAGTGATCTATCACAGACTCATCATTGCCTTCTTAATTCCATCCCTAATTTATGTGCAACACTTAGCATTTTTTTTAGGAAGAAACTTTTTTTTCCTTCCTAAATGTATTCAGCTTTAGTTTTTCCTCATATGAACCGGCTTTTTCTTTTTGATTGATTTTGTTGCTCTCCTCTGGCTACTTTTACACAACGCTCTTCATTCCAATGCTGTGATGTTGTCAACTTCAGTCATAGGATGAAAATATCAGGGACATTTTTTAAAAAAAACAGAGAGACTTGATTATGATTATATAACGAGTATAACTCATTGATATCATTGATGCAGTTTCTCTCCCCCCCTCTACTAAGTACTTAAGACTTTAACTTATCATAAGATTTAAAGATTTTGGAGAAAAGGGGAGGAAAAGTGAGAAGGGGAAAAGGAAGAAGAGAGGAGGGAGAAGAGTGGAAGGGAGAAGGGGAAAGGGAGGAAGGGAGGAGAGGAGAAGAGAGAAGAGAGAAGAGAAGAGAAGAGAAGAGAAGAGAAGAGAAGAGAAGAGAAGAGAAGGGAAGGGGAGGGGAGGGAAGGGAAGGGAAGAGATACTACGAGCGAAGTCGCGGCGGAATACTTGGCTGCCTCCAAACGCGCACGAGACGGTGGAAGCCCTTCAAGTGCCCGCCTCTGATTGGACGGGTGACGCATCGCGGGGCGGGGCCTTGCCGGCAGCCGGGGCTGAGGCGCGATCCGATAAATACAGGTGGTCCAAGATGCTGGGGCGACACAGCTTCCCGACGCTCTCGGCGGCTCCCAACTTCCCCGCGCGAAGATGTCTCAGACGCTCAAGTTGGCCACGAAGGCGTCCTTGGTCGCCAAGCTCTTTCCTGAGCTGTGGGTGGACTCTCTCCTCGGGGCGCGATCGAAAGTTCTGAAAACCCACAAGACTCTGGAGGAAATGCCGGGACCCAGCGCTCTCAGCTTCTTCAGCGACCTTTTCTGCAAAAGAGGGCTCTCGCGACTGCATGAACTCCAGGTAAGAGTCGCCTTGAGATGATGGAGATATGGATGCATGGATAGGGGAGAAAGAGAGAGATGGATTGATAAGATAGATGGATGGATGGATGGATGGATGGATGGACGGACAGACAGACAGACAGAGATAGAGATAGATATAGATAGATAGATATAAATAGAGATAGATAGATAGATAGATAGATAGATAGATAGATAGATAGATAGATAGATAGATGATAGAGAGAGAGAGAGAGAGAGAGAGAGACAGACAGACAGACAGACAGACAGACAGAGATAGAGATAGATAGAGATATATATATATATAAATAGAGATAGATAGATAGATAGATAGATAGAGAGAGAGAGACAGACAGACAGACAGACAGAGATAGATAGAGATAGATAGAGATAGATAGATATAAATATAGATAGATAGATAGATAGATAGATAGATAGATAGATAGATAGATAGATAGATAGATAGATAGATAGATAGATAGATATAGATAGATAGAGAGAGATAGGGAGAGTGAGAGATGAATAGAGAGAGAGATGGATGGATAGAGAGAAAGAGAGAGATGGATAGAGAGATAGAGAGATGGATAGATAGATAGATAGATAGATAGATAGATAGATAGATAGATGCAGACAGACAGACAGATAAGACAATATCATCCTTCGTCATAAAATCTCTCTCTCTCTCCTTTAAGGCCTGAAACTAGCGAGTCTTCTCCTTAATGCTTCTCCCCATCAAAAAAGCAATTGCGCAGTGTTTTAAATTCCAAAGCCCTTTTTCTTGCGAGGGCTTATGCAAAACCAAAAGACAAGGTAGTCTAACCCGCCCCCCCCCCCCGATCCTATGGGCAGTTCCCCACTTTTCTATTGATCCAAGATACTTGATAAGCAAAAAACTTTCTGGGATTACCCTGTGCGGCATTCTAGGCTTTCCTTTGCAAGGTGTGGTATGTCTGTGTGCGTAAGGAAATGTTTTGTGCTCAAAAAAAAAAAAAAAGGTTTACAGATGGGAGATAACCAAGTCTGACTCTCCTGTAAAATATCTGTGAATGAAGCAAGGTAGTTGCACCACCCAAATCTCATCTATGAGCTCTTTTTTCTCGATTACAGTCCCTTCCTTTTTTGGAAGGGGACAGTGGAGAGCAAGCATAGAGAACCTTTTGGGAACAGAAGTCATATACAATATGATGGATTCTGCTCCTTTCTTCCCAGTTGTTATCCAGGGGTGTCTCCAAGGCTCTCTTACTGTGTCAAAAAAAGGATGCTTGGAAAAGGGGGAGCTCCAGGAAAGAAAAAATGGCAACAGCCATTGGATGAGCAATTTTTTTTTTTTTTTTAATGTATGGCTCTTGATCCATGATTTCTCAAATTGCCCTTTAAATTTTTAATTCTGGGGTTTCTTTTACTTCATGGATGGTGCCTTGATTATTTCTTTTTAAAGCTTCTGCCAAATCCCAATTATCCAAATAACTCATCCTAGTATGAATGTGGTGAAGAGATTGACCCTTGGCATCCCTAAAGCAGTGTGGGAATGAACCTCCAAGTTAAGGACATGGCATATAATACACCCTTGTAAGTAGCATTGAGCAATTCTCCAAAGCGTTGCTGAAAAATTTCCATGGCTCTCCAGGAATCAATGGGAGAGAAGTCACAGACATTTAACGGCAATTCAGTAGAGCCAGCGCAAGATGAACATAAGATATCCCTGAGCCCAACCACCCCTGGTTTAGGATGGCATGTTTATAAAATGGGGGCAGGTATTCTACAAGGTGCAAGAGGCTATTTCAGTAATATCAGTTCAGCGTGTTGTTTCCTAGCTTGCTTGTCCGCTGTGCTCTGTTATATATAGACGGCAGCTTTCGTTGAGAAACCTTAAGCCACTGAGTTGAGCAAAACCACTTTGACCTTGTGGCCATCCATAGCATTAAACTGTACTTGTGTGTGCAATTATGCAATTTTAAAATCACTGTGTGATGACCTGGGGCGTGGCACCAAGGCAACACAGTCAAATAATCAGTAAGAGTCCCTTTCTTATCTCCAACTTTGCCCCCAATGTCCAGGTTACCTTCTGGCTAGAGAAAAACTCTCCCAGGAACAGCCTTTGACTGCAGAAAATTAAGTCCAAAACATGGTCAATACAAACTGTAACTTAAAATCCAAACAAGCCAAACTGAAGTCATTAGTTTGGTAGGGCAGGAGCAATAATTTCAGACTTGAAGGCACAGCAAAACTCACACGGTTGGGAAGATGCCAGGAATACAAATAAGCCACGACAACACAGGATAAAGTCACGGTTGCTCCCAGCAGCCTGCCGCACGCAGCCTGCCTTTCTTATCAATTGTCTTCCCGGCTGTGGCTAATGAAGGGAATCAGGGCCCTTTTCTCCCCCGTAAGCGCACGTTGCTCTCTTCTCCGTTGCTCCCTGTGTGCCCTAGGATGAAGTGGGGGTGGGCCTGGTTCTTCCTCTGAACTCCCTTTCCCTTGTTCTATCTCTCCCCTGCTCTGCCCAGCCAGACTTTGCCCTTCCCCAGCCTCCTCCACAGCCAACGGAGCCACACTCTCCTTCCCTGTTCGGCTTCCTCCTCTGCTGTTTGGCTTCCTCCTCGGATTCAGTCTCCAACAGGGGCATGACACACTGATAGTTCTATGAGGTGTGTACAGATGAGAGTGCCCTAACCCATTCTTCTTTTAACATACATGTTCAATGAGTATGTTCAGTAGTCATCTCAATAAAAGAGTATTTTACTATAATTGTGGAGATTTTCTCCTTCTGCATACTGTAAAAAAGAGAATATTTTAGTTTACTTCCAAAATCTCTTTGCCATTCATCAATCCTTGTGCTTCCTCTAGGTTTAGCACAGTAGACCTGAAACTTTTTTTAATGGAAGGTCTCCTTGGTGCTCTCTGAGTTTGGTTGTTTTCTTGCCGACTTTTTTTATTGTCCCTATTTAAATTTGCAATGGCGCTATTATATAGAATATTTTCCTATTGCAATTCAATTCTTCCTTCCTGGTAGTATCAGATGCTTAGATACTGAAACAGAGTAGTGTAAGCTGCTACACTATGTTGTCAAAATAGGTTTATAAGTTTAGCAGGACATAGTTCGATAGGCAGAGAAAAATATTCAAAACACTTGTGAAACATCCATGCCGGCATCGGTAATATCACTGTCCTGATTATCTCTGAAAAGAATCCGAGGGATGAAGAGAAGACAGTTTTAGAATATCATATCAGTGTTAAGTTTGTTGAATGCTATACTGGTAATCTAATGTCAATTATTTTCATAAAAAGACCTCCACATAGCCTTTTTGATGGGTGTGGCTGTTTGATTTATGCACCACTGCTGTCTTTGGGTGGTGTAGGAAGTATTCATGATTTGTATTCTCTCTGCATGTGTATCATCTAAGGATTATCGTACTTATTAACTGTTATGATCCCCCCCTTTTTTGCTATTTTATTATTGTTGATATACTATTGTATTTCCCAAGTCAGGAAAAGCAAAAGAACCATTGAAAAATGCTAATGCTTAACTTAAGAACTCCATTTAGTTTCACTTAGACTTCTTCCACTATTCTAGTTTATCAAAGAGACACAGAATCATAAGGAGTAGCAACTTCACAGAAAGGGAGACTAAATAATGAAAGCTACTCAAGAGCCTGAAGAATGCTCTAGTCTAACCAGATGAATGAAAAGCACAATCCTACACATGTTTAGAGAGCTAACAACCCTTTTGTCCAACTTTTAAGAGTCTACAACACAGGGAATCCATCCAAAGAAGGCTTAAAAGCCTATTTTCCAATCCCATTCATTGCAGTAGAAAAAGCCATCTACTACCGTTTGTCGTGTAATCTTCAAGATTGAAATTGTCCTTTCTTGTCCCATAAGCCACTGTCCTTTGCACGGGCAATTTTTAAGTGCTTCTTTAGATATCCAATCCGAGTTCATCCCTTTTCACCTATGCGAAGATGCTTGCATTATAGAGGTTCTGGGATGTACCTCCGTGTTTGGGTATTCATTTTGGGCGTCAGATGCTTATGCTTTTTGACATGGAGAGGCTACCAGCAAGGGAGAAAAATTCTGCAATCATTTTTCCCTCACCAAGGAAATGTAACTATTGAGAAACTGGACACATTAAGCGTATCTTCCACAGATTCAGTATATTTCTGCCTGGAGTGGACTGGATTTGAGATTAACAGCCTTTCTAAATACTTTCTTATTTAGTAATCCCTTCCGTAATTATGCAGAATTTGAGGCTAATTGAACAAAAGAGATTGGGAGGAGGGGAGGATGTGAATTGTGTTTCCTGACTGGATCTTCTTCCCTGAGTGGATCATTATGGGATGTCTCACAAGCTTCTCTCCTGGTCTCCTCCTAGATCGAAGGCAAGGCTAAATATGGCCCAGTTTGGAAGGCGAGTTTTGGGCCCATCCTCACAGTCCATGTGGCAGATCCCAGTCTGATTGAACAGGTGCTAAGACAGGAAGGCAAGCATCCCATTCGCTCTGACCTCTCCTCCTGGAAGGATTATCGAGTGTGTCGAGGCCACGCATACGGGCTGCTTACAGCGTAAGTATTCGCTGCGTTTTGTTCTCTAGGCAGGCTGGCCATATTGCAGCAGAGTTCCCCCAAAGGCTCTCCTTGCAGAGGTTATTCCATTCTCATGATTTCCCACCCGGCCAATCATTTCATGCATTGGTTAGCTATGGAGTAGCTCCCTCTAGTGATTTCCCTGAGACTTTCAAGAAAGTTTTTATGCCTAGGAAGATGTGGCTCTGATGGAACCATTTAGGCAGCACTTTTAAAAGCCCGTTGCCATTCATCCCTTGATATAAGGAGTTTCTGCCCTTGAGACAGCTAACTATCAGAACTAGAAAATAAAGAATCAAAGCCCAATATAATACAGTTAAAACTTTGATCCACGCAACTTGTAAGTCTCAGCTGAAAGGGGGAAGAATTACACGCCTCTCCAGGAAGTTGGGGAAATTGTTGACTCTCTAAAGTTGGCAAGTTGAGAGGGCTGCAGGAACTTAAAGGGACCAAGATAGGACAGGACAGGCCCCATTGTTAGGTCAAGTGAATCAGTTACTTTGGGCAGCCAAAGCAGGTCAGGTGAGTGGGCGACACAGAGAGCTAACGGACAGAGTTGTGCGTAGTTTCCCTGAACCATGTCAACTATCTGCTGCCCTCAATTCCAGTGACGTGTGCTGTCTTTCAATCAGTGCCCAAATAAGATCTGACTACCAGTTCACTTGGGTTTTGGGTGGGGAATAGGGAGGGCTGCCATCTTGCCTCTCACATGAGGCAACATATTATCCTGAAAAAAATCCTCTTCCTGAAGGATGTGGATATCAACAATATTATCTGTTCCCATGACACAAAAACACATCTTAAGACACCGGAAACTGTAGACAATTGTGTAATTTACCACCACTATCTACACATACTCACAAAACATATGTGTAGGTGGTACTGGTGAATTACCCAATTGACTACAGTCTCCGGTGTCTTAAGATGTGTTTTCGTGTCACGGGATGTTTCCTGCCCTCTATATTTCTCATGCAAAATCAGCAGAATTAGGCAGTAATGGAAACTTTAGAGCAAAGACCTCAGATAGTGCTACATGAAGGATTTCACAGCTGGGTTATGTAATGGGAGGGACACACCTTATTTATGGGTTTTTATGTATTACTGGGGTTTATATGCCACTCTAACCCACAGAGCCTCCAAAACTACAGCCCACAACATCTCTCATCATTGGCCAGACTAGCTAAAGCTGTTGGCCACCAAATTGTAGGCAGAGCTTTCCTACTTCAAATGCTAAGCTGATATCCTTCTCTTTCTTTTGGCATCTCACCTTTGTGGCTCTGGAAAGGAGGCTAAAATCCTTAGTAACAGGCCAGGTTTTCTGCCCTACTATGAGGGCACGAATGGAGACAGTTTTAAACCATCATTATTGGCCCTTTCCTGCCTCAAGGTGTCTCAGAACTTCCTCTCTGTGAAGCACCTGCTTCATTTTGTGTTTCTTCCTTTGGAGGCCTGCTCACTAGGGCTGATCTGTGGAAGACAAGAGGGAAGAAGCCCCTCGTGTTTCCTGGAAATGCGTTACGTGAGAACAGAAGTGTCTTGCTGAGGCCTCTGCAAGCCTACAGGCTGGGAAGTGAGAAGTCACCCCGAGGACCTCACTAAACCATAGATGACTCAAGCTCCCTCTGTAGGGGTTCTCCCATCTGCTTGGCTGGTGGCTTCCACAGCCTGGACCAATGCAGGATATGAGTAACAAGAAAAGGAAATGTATCCAAGAGATAAGCACACAGCCCTTTTGGAGGGGCTTTGGGCAGTTTGTTTCCAGATTACTAGTGGACTATCTATCCCAGTGTGGTGCAAAGGTTAAGGCCTCAGGGCTAGAAATCAGGAAACTGTGTTCTAATCTTGCCTGGGGCACAAACCCAACTGGGTGACCTTGGCCCAGTCACTTTCTCTCAGCCCTAGGAATGATGCGATGGTAAACCACTATTGAAAAACCTTGCCAGGAAAACTGAGGGGACCTATCCAATCAGAATCAGACATAATTGAGTGGTGGTGGGGGGGAGGGAATATCTTTTACGAGGTTTGAGGTGTAGCTCCACCAAGCTGATACTTACCTCTCTTTGGAAAAGGGAGAATGTTCTTACTTGTTTCTAGTTTTTGTCTCTGTAGAGCTTTGGGCCTTCCTTCTGTCCATCAGACTAATGGAGGCTGTTTTCTACCACACAGGGAAGGTGAGGAGTGGCAGCAAATTCGCAGCATCCTAGGAAAACACATGCTGAAGCCCAAGGAGGTGGAATCTTACACCGGGACCCTGAACGAGGTGGTCAGTGATCTGATCGGCCGGCTGCAGCACCAGAGAAATCTCCACGAGCGACACGTGGTCAAGAATGTGGCCGATGAATTCTACAAGTTTGGATTAGAAGGTATCTTACTACTACTATGCCCGTTTTATAAAATTACCCCACAAAATTTCGTCTGCATCCAAGTTACACCAGTAGCTTCATTCACAAGTCGACAAATCTAGGATAACGATATAATGTAGTGTAATGGGTACAACGGAGCCCGGCTGGGTTTATCTGAGGTAAAGTTCAATTCGTCCTCAATTTAGAACCATTTGTTTAGCAACAGTTTGAAGTTGTAATAGCTCTGAAAAAACAACAACTTTCAACTGGTCCTCACGCTTAACAATTGTTGTAGCCTCCCACAGACAGGTGAGTTAAATTTTGATGCTTGGCAACCAGCACGTATTTACAAAGGTTGCAGTGTCCAAGGTCACATGACTGCCAGAGTCATTTCGATACAAGATGGGCAGCAAATAAATAAATTTTATTTTAAATAAATATTTTTTCTTAAATCACAAACTTTCCCATCCAGCTTCTCACCAGCAAAGTCAATGGGGGAAACCAGATTTGCCTAATGACCACATAATTCACTTAATAGCTGCAGTAACAACTGTGGCCAAAAAAGGTCACAAAATTGAGCACAACTTCCTTAACAACCACCCTGCTTAGCTACAGAAATTCTGGTCCCAATTGTGGTCATAACTTAAGGACTACCTACACACGATTTTTATAAGGCTGATGATACAAACACATGAGAATATATACTTTTCTCCCCATATATGTCTTTACTATTTCAGCGCAAGTATACCATCACTTAATTAGTCCTCAATATTTTTCATGTTCCAGGTTTCTTGTAAATCAGGATTTCAGGCATTTAAAAAATGGCAACTTATGTTGTATTCTGCAAAGTGAAAACCTCCAACTTCAACATTTAAATTTAATTCTTCAATTAAAATTTTTAAAACCCTGGTGGTTGCAGAGAAAGACTTGAAAGTGTATGGCCAGTGCTTGTTAAAACAAAGCAAAACAAAACCCTGATACCAAGGGATGAGGTTTGATGGAGAAAGCTTCTGCTGTAATGATTGAAGTGACCATTCCTTTCATTCCTTTCCCTAGGTATTTCTTCGGTCCTCTTTGAATCCCGCATTGGCTGCCTGGAACCCAAAGTTCCAGAAGAAACAGAGAAGTTCATTAGCTCCATCAACACCATGTTTGTCATGACTCTGCTCACTATGGCCATGCCCAAATTTTTGCACCAAATCTTTCCGAAGCCGTGGCAGAAGTTCTGTGAATCTTGGGACTATATGTTTGAGTTTGGTGAGTGTTTGCACCATGAAACTTTCTTACTTTAAGTAATTTTAACTAATCTTTGATTGGGAGCAGCCCACAATTGGCTGAAAAATGGGTGGCTATATAAATGTTATAAATAGAGAGATGATAGATAGATAGGTGTGTGTGTGTGTGTGTGAGAGAGAGAGAGAGAGATTAGAGAGAGAGAGATGATAGATTAGATAGATAGATAGATAGATAGATAGATGATAGATATAGATAAAGATAGATAGATAGATAGATAGATAGATAGATAGATGATAGATAGATAGATAGATAGATAGATAGATAGATAGATAGATAGATAGATGTAGATGTAGATGTAGATGTAGATGTAGATAAGCCAGGTAGGTAGGTAGGTAGATGATATAGATAGAAAATAGAAGATAGATAATGATAGGTGTTAGAGGATATAGATGGAAGATAGAAAATAGATTATTGATAGATAGATAGATAGATAGATAGATAGATAGGACAAACAGATGATAGATGTAGATAAGACAGGATAGATAGATGTGTGTGTGTGTGAGAGAGAGAGATGATAGATATAGATGATAGATGTTGATTGATAGATGACAGATGATAGATGATTGATACATGATAGATATAGAGAAAAGACAGGATAGATAGATAGATGTGAGAGAGAGGGGGGGAGGGAGAGAAAACGATTCCTTCTCTGATGTGATTTATTAGTATTGCCCTTGGTGTTATTTATTATGAAGAATGGCTTTGTAAGAACTAAAAATGTGCTATTTCTCATTTCATTTTCTGTTACAATTTTCTTCTCCTCCTTTCTTCTAAGAGTCAGATTATTCAGGAAATTCCCCAAATGCAAAGTCTAGATAGCAATACTTTGAGGATTTGATTGAAGGATAGTATATAAATACCCCAAACAGATAGATACCTTTTGCTGCCATGTTATAAAGAGCCAGGGCTGGCCTATTTAAAAGGTGATGTTCTCTTGTTTGCCTAAGGTCGTATTAAAATATATTCAAGCTTTGTTTGAAACAAGAAACCTTCAGACCTGACTGATATGTCACAAAGGTTGTTAAATATGTTGTTGGATGGCTCCAGCAGGGAGACAAAGAATAATTTTTTGCCCATTTCTTTTCCAGCCAAAGGACACATCGATAAGCGGATGGCTGAAGTTTCAGAAAGAATCACCCAGGGGGAGAAAGTCGAAGGAAAATACCTCACTTATTATTTGGCACAAGAAAAACTGTCCATGAAATCCATCTATGGAAATGTGACTGAGCTTCTCCTGGCTGGTGTGGACACGGTAAGCATTTGGGGATGCGGTAAGATTGAATATTTTCTGTACTTGCAAGCATTATTTCTCTCTACCTTTTGGAAGCCATGTCCAATCCAACTTCAGCTGAAACTAATTCATTGATAGATATTGGGGACAAGAGATTCGATGGATGATCTCACCTTCTTAAGGTGGGAGTCAAAAGGTCTGCAGGCCACAATAATCTTTTCTTGAATAAATAGTTAAGAGGACCATATTCCTTCCTTTGTGTAACTGTTCTTTAGAGGAGGCCAAGGATGCAGGTGTAATGGGATTTTGATTGAACCTGACATTTATTCCCTTGCTTAGAGCAAGGATACCTTTCCCCAATCAGTGACTTTCCAATTGTGTCAGATTACATTTCCCATCATTTCCAGTTAGTGAAGGACGGAGTTTAACATACACACACAAGGCATTTGAAGAAGACTGCTTTAAAATATGTAAAATTGATGACTCTTAGCTTTCTTTTAATTTTTTTTTTTGCTGTAAATAATTTTTTTGCACTGTGGATTCTTCAGCTCTGTTTAGAATGCAATTGCCATCCACTCTTGATCTGGCATAATCTGATGAAAGGACATGGATTCCATCCACGATTCTTAGCTTTTGGGGTTTTTTTTGGGCTGTACGAAAGAAGAATGCCCTAGACAGCTAGCACAAAAAACAGTACCTACTACTTAGCAACAACAATGCTTCCAGACTCGTAGGGGGATTATTCTCTGCACTGCTTAGACTGGTTCTGAATCCATCTCTGTCTCTCTCTCTGCCCCTGAAGATCTCAAGCACCTTGTCTTGGAGTTTGTATGAGCTGTCCCGTCACCCTCAGATACAAGCGGCCGTCCATGAGGAAATTACCACTGTGATGAAGGAGGGCCTCATTCCAACCGCTGCTGATGTAGCTCAGATGCCTCTGCTGAAGGCCGTGGTGAAGGAAGTCCTGAGGTGAGTCTTGTTTCAGGAGCAAATGGGAAGCTGGTACGTGGAAGGTAGAGAAACACAGCAACGTCCTAGGCAGTGGTGGGATTCAAATTTTTTTTACTACCGGTTCTGTGGACGTGGCTTGGTGGGTGTGGCAGGGGAAGGAGATTGTAAAATCCCCATTCCCTCCCCACCCCACTAACCTGCTTTCCAGCTCTGTTCTCCTGTGCAGGGCAACCAAAGAAGACCCAGCTGATCAGCTGGGACTTGGGAGGCAGAGAATAGATGGGGGAGGGGCCAGTCAGAGGTGGGATTTGCCAGTTTTCTGAACTACTCAAAATTTCCGCTACCGGTTCTCCAGAACTGATCAGAACCTGCTGAATAGCACCTCTGGTCCTATGTTGATCTTGCAAGGGGAAGCTTAAAAAAATGGTCAGGGGCTTTTCAGGACAGAAGCTGAATGGTAGCAGTTCAAGGTCACCTGTCATTTTTTTCCCCACTGCACTGATCATAAGACCTGTCTTTTAAGATCAGCCTTCTATTCTTGTCTGCCTTTGGCATTCAGAGATGCTAAATTTTATCACTTATTTGTCCATGTACTGATAGTCCTTGACTTACACTGTTTGCTTGGTGACCGTCCCAAGTTACAATGGGCCCATCACAAGCTACTTGTGACCCTATTTTGAAGTGACAGTATAATGGGCATAACACACATATATCCCCATGGTCATGATATCACATTTTGGACACTGCAAAAAGGGTTCACCTTTATGGCTGTTTGCAGAGTCCTGTGTTCACATGACCACCATTTTTTGATGGTTTTGGGGATTTACTTCCAGTTTGGGTCAAAAATATGCCCATTGGGTAAAGCAGGTCATCTTAATGACCATGGTGATCACTTAACAACCACTACAAAAATGTTATAAAATTGGGTCCAATCACAAAGTGACCCACTTAACAACTGCAATGACTTACAATTTACAACTGTAATTCCAGGCTCAATAATAGTCTTAAGTAGAGGACTAAGTCTACCAACATGGATTTTAAAATCTACTAAAACTCTTTGCTTTTCTTTGGCATGGCACAGTAGCAATAGCTATTGCACTTAGACTTATATACCACTTACAGTGCTTTACAGCCTTCTCTAAGTGGTTTACAAAGTCAGCCTATTGCCCCCAACAATCTGAGTCCTCATTTTACTGACTTTGGAAGGATGGAAGGCTGAGTCAACCTTGAGCTGGTCGGGATTGAACTGCTGGCAGTCAGCAGAACTAGCCTGCAATATTGCATTCTAATCACTGTGCCATCAGGGCTCTTAGTAGATGCTTAGCTTTCCTGCTTAGATTTTTGCCATGGAGCATCCATTTGGAGGGCTGGATGCAAATTTAGCTTCCTAGCTAGATAACTTTATTTCTATCAACATGCTTTGGGCTAAGTATATATAGATCTGGACAGCTGGGCAAGCAGTGAAATCTGTGATTCCTTTAAAATAATATTTGCTTTTGTTTGCTCTTTACAGATTGTACCCAGTGATTCCTGGTAATGCGCGTGTCATCTCAGACAGGGACATCCAAGTGGGAGACTATATGATCCCCAAGAAGGTGAGCAAGAGCAGAGATGATGGAAATAGAAAAAAAGCAGAGAGTAACCATTAGTCTGCAGTATTTTGCCACCAACCATTCATGTGTCATTTGGATACAACAATTAAAAGCAACTGCTGAGTTAAGCTATGGACCTACACAAGACAAGGCTGATAATCTAGACCCAATGTGATCTCCACCACATGTGTTCGTCTAGGATTGCAGTTACCAGCTGCCCATGATGTGCTACTGGAACTCTCCTTTCATATCCAATGTTCTACTGATTTTTAATATCAACAAAATTATAAGTTGTGAAGTCCTTTCTGAGAGGAAAAAATTAATAACATATAATAGAGGTGTCCAACTTGATTTAATTAAGGGCCATATCAGGGTTGTGTTTGACCTCGAGGAGGCCAGGTGAGCATGGCCAGCTTGATGTCACTTGTGTTGGGAGTGCTAGTGATGGGCCGAGCGCTCTGCCAGTCAAAATGGAGCTCAGGAGGGTCCCTCCATTTTCACTGACAAAGGCACTGCAGGCCAGTCCTTCCAGGGTGCCACCATGGGCCAGATCTAAGCACTCTGCAGGCCAGATCCAGCCTGCGGGCCTTGGGTTTGACACCCCTGAAATAAAATAAATGGGAAGAAAGAGTAAAATCAATACAACTATTCACCATAGGACACCAGGGAGGCCCAAAACAAACCTGTTACTCTTTGTCCCCAAGTTTCTGGAAATGTATAAATATTTTAGGATAAGCATTCAGGAATTCTTATTAGATTGGAACTCAAGGAAAGGATTCCTTAGTGGAAATATTGTTTTAAAGGCAAAATGAAGACTTGGGACCAGTGAAGGTTTAGATCAAGAAATGGGAACAACACTAACACTTCAGGAAGGATAGGGAAGTGGATGTAGAGCAATGAAACATGTAGACATTCTGAACATGGGTTTCTGAATTGCTTTTCTCATGTTGGTTCGTTTTTCCCCTCTTCCTCTTTTCTTTAGACCCTGATAACCCTTTGCCATTATGCTACCTCTCGAGATGAGACGTACTTCTCCGATCCCAACTCATTCCAGCCTGAGCGATGGCTGCACAAGAATGCTTCACACCACCCCTATGCCTCCATTCCCTTTGGCTTTGGCAAACGCAGTTGCATTGGCCGACGTATTGCGGAGCTTGAAGTATATCTGGCGCTGGCTAGGGTACGGTTTACTTATGATGATGTTATTTTCCAGATAAGTTTTTCCTCTACAACTGGCATGGTTGAAAACTTGGAATTTTGTTTGTGGAGGAAGGCACAGTGGCAAAACATTGTCTCCTTCCTTCCTTCCTTCCTTCCTTCTTTCCTTCCTTCCTTCCTTCCTTCCTTCCTTCCTTCCTCCCTCCC